TTCAAATTCAAAAACAACCTAAAGATTTAATTTTGAAATAATCTAAATGTCAAAGATTTTTCTGATAATTTTGTTAAATATTATTGCAAACCGTAAATCTTATCATTTTTCTTTGAAGAAAAAATTCTGTGGCTTTCTAATGGATAACTGCAAAGAATGCAGGGAAGTCCAAAAGGGGAGAAAATGCTAAAATGACCACGGAAAGGTAAAATTCTTTTTAGGAAGAAATATGACATAAATGAAACTTTCACGTTAGTGACAATAAATACTTGCTAATTAAGTCAGAAGCCAGCAACAGACGTGTAGGACCATCTGAAGCCTGGCTCACTGCCTAGGCTGCCAATCTTTCACACTGTGTTTTCACTGAGTCAGAATCCAACAAGCTGTGCTTACAGTTGACCAACAAGATGTAACATTTATTACTTTTGGAGTTACTTGCAACTACATTTCTATGAGCTAGATTTTATGTGCACTTGTTTACATGTGCCAGTTAATCCATACTGATCTATTCCTTCCTGCAGTCAACACATTGACTGAGTGCCCTGGGCAGCCTCTTGGAGATGAGGGCACCATGATACTCAGGACAGAAAAAGTCCCTGGTCTTGAAAGTGAGTTCTCACATTCAGGCAGATGGGATAAGGGAACAGAGGTAGGCAGGGGAAGAGGAGTCCAAGCTCAGGAGGGTAGATGATCTGGATAGGAAGGTCAAGAAAGTTTTTTGAGTGTCTGATGTTTTAGCTGAGAACTACAGAAGGTGAGAGACTGGGCCACACTGAATAAATAGCTGTATGTTCCTCAAAGAGAGGAACTGAGCTACGGCAGCAAAGGACGTCAGTAACGGATCCATTTCACAGTATTTACAGAATTATTATTAGTGTCTATTTAATCCATACTTTCTCTCTCTTCTCTCTCTCTCTCTCTCTCTCTCTCTCTCTCTCTCTCTCGGCACTGAGATTGAAACCAGGGTTCCTTTACCATTATGCCACATCCCCACCCAGGGGTACTTAACAATTGAACTACATCCCTAGCCCTTAAAAAAAAAATGATTTTGAGACAAGGTGTCACTAGGTTGCTTACAGTCTCACTAAGTTGCTGAGGCTG